TGTGTGTGTGTGTGTGTGTATGTGTATGTGTGTGTATGTGTATGTGTGTGTGTGTGTGTGTGTGTGTGTGTGTGTGTGTGTGTGTGGTGGACTGCAGACACAATCTCGCTCACTGTGAATTGGTCACCTGCAGAGGGCCAAACAATAACCGCGACTGGGATCGCCCCACCCGATGTAACACAGCTGGAATGTGTGCAAGAAAAGCTTATTCTCAGGGGAATGCCAGAAACGATCAATCAGTGAATTGGAAGGCTGAGAGAGCTGGGAAGGGAGGAAACCTCTGCCTCATTCCCATTCTCATCCTTACCATCCGTATTTACCTCTTCATTCTAGCAAGCTTATTCAATTGCTAATATCCTCGCAAATTACACTGCTATACTTCATTATTCCAGTTTGAATTCATTTGTAACAAAAAAGTCAAAATTTGATGGTGTGGTCACATAACACATATCCTGTTGAACATGCAGGCATGTATGTTAAGCTAATCAAAGTGCGCAATTTCATTTACCTAATTTGCTTGACAATATAGCGAATATGTTCTATTAATTACCGCATGTATCCATAATCAACTAGAGATGCGGTAAGACGCACCCTTTCAAGTGTAGAAAACACCTTAACATAGCAATTCCCAATATTTCACGCATCTCCTATTTTAGAATGTATTTACTAAGAAGTATGTTTTAGAAAGACTCCTCCTTTCTGCATATGGAGTGTCAATTGCTGTAAATCTACGATATGCTGATGAGTCCAAGCTGTGTAAACGAAACGGGCCTAAACTCACTACTGAACGTCGTCAGAGCGGACAAATAAAGAACTCTTAGGTTATAAAATAGTACGAGTGAGCGCTTAGCCAACAGATCTTTCGTATTTAATAAATATATGTGTAAACAACTCACCAAACAGCACCAACATAGAAAGAGCGCCACCGTTTTAATAACGCGACATCCGAAATCGGCTTTTCTGTTATAAAAACTGAACCCTTGATTATTTCTATCTGCTTCTTGTTCCATATCCAATCTATCAAATATGAAACAGGAAACCGATCTAAAACACATGTAAAAACCAGTAATAATATTCAGTAAAGAGCAGTTATAAAGTAAAATTTCGTATAGAAACCACGCATGTGTTTTCAAGGGCCAAAAAGGTCCATATCTTTGCCACATCATACAATGTTGAAGGTACAGTAGGATAAGCTATCGCAAAGACAGCACGCAAGAACCATTCCGACCCAAACAGACCAAGTTGACCGCATATATGCCTGGTGTACACAGTGGTCCAGGAAATTGTCCCCAAAAATGTACCTAACCAAATGAAGTGGTGTCATTATTCTCCTAAACTGCTATAATCCTAAATGATTAGTCTTCATATAGCCTCTATTAAACTATGCAGGACATGAAACACCAAGAAAAAATCCCTAGCAGCAACCGATTCAACCTACATGCGATGCAGAAAAATCAAAAAGAAAACAAAAACAGTCCAGAACAGAATAAGTTAGTCCCGTGCAAAAGGTGACAAGCACAATATAGCACCACAATCCAGCAACTGCAAATAGACCGCCGCCCCCACTTTTAAATTGGACACATGAGGATTGTCCTTGTATTCATTCTGTCCATAAAATAAAACAAACTGCAACTTTTAATTACCAAAAGTTCAACTTTTAGAGCAACTTCTAAACGAATACAGTTGAGCCGTGGCTAGTTTATTAGTTTCCCTAAACCTCCAATTTTGAAAATAAATTTCTCATTTAATTCAGTAATATATTTTTAATGTTATATGCGTAATATGGAGAGCTTGCACAGAGTTGTGCATGTCAATCGATTTTAATTAAAATGCCGGTTCTGCTAAATTGCCTTGGATGTACTATTCTCTAATACGATGATTGTTCTTCTCGGTTTTGGCGAGGAGCTACTTCTGGCTTTGACATTACGGCACGCCAGGTGGGCTAGTATTCAGACCATGGCAGTAGCCAAAATACTTTCTGTATGTCAAATGAATATATTCTGTCCGAGAAGTATGGCTTCTTTCGTCTTCAAGGAAGTCCCGGGACACTACAATTCTATACAATTTTTGACAATAACTGATTTGTTAGTGCATAGTTTGACCTGCAACTAATATTTTTACTATTTCTTCAAAATTCCCTATTTAATGACGTGTTTTACCTAATTTTAATTGCTTTTGATTAACCTTAGACGTGCAGCTTTACTGATTAAATTTATGTAATTTTACAGAAACTTTTACTGCACCGCGCCAACGTAGGGCGCCTCTTCACCAAAAGCCTTCGCGTCTTTGGAGCGTCGTCCTTTGCGCTTTCCTTGGTCAACCTCCCCAGTCAGCGATCATAACGTGATCGATGCTGTAAAATAGACACCTACTAACTAGTTGTGCTAGTAGCTTGATTTCCATTACAAATGAGAAGATACTTGACCGTAACCCCTGAATCCTCTTGGCAAATCAGCTAGGCCTACGGTTACTTCCTTTATATGAATTAATTCGGTGGCGAGAAAACCTGCTGGTCATCAGTCGCAACCATACCTAATCCTGTTGCATGTGGGGTAGGCAACGCCTTCATTAGTTTTCTCCCAAATAGTTTACGTCTAGTGTTGCATCCGTTTCTAACAGCTTTTTTCAGAACAGGGGATTGGGGTAATTGCCGAGAGCAGAAGTCGTGTTAGCCCTTTTGTTATGAATCATCACTGATTCCCTATTCGCAGCATACGCATTTCTTCCGTCCCGTCAAGGTTTACTACTCAGCAGTAGAAATCGGAATATTTGTCCTTTAAGGTCGGGTTCACTTTCCACTGCCACCGACATGTAGCCCCGACGCAAAGTGGCTTTTTGTTAAAACCACAAGTTAACCAAACAATCAATGTATTGCATCCACATAATAAGTTTTTGGAAGTGCTCTGGCTACACCATCAGTAACGCTTGTATTTGAGAGGTTGCACATTAATTTTGGCCTTACTATCATCTTTACTTAACTTCTAAGTCGGTTTGCTTATATTATTGGCAAGTCAGTAAAACTGGTCTAACCTCGCTTCCTAGTAAATTGTTTTCCGGTGTTTCAAATCTTTGGTACTTTAAGTTTGTATGACTTCGATTAAAATAGGATCCAGTGAAATGATAAATTCCCCTGACACATTTTAATTTCGCTTTTTGGGTAAAGAGGTCTACCTGAGTAAATTATTATTATTATTAACTACTTATTTTCTGGTTTTGGTTCATCCACTCGGCTTCACCTTTATCCGCTGATGATTTGCTGCTTATGCAATTTACCCAATGGGAACAGAGCATTAGCAGCCTGGTACCACCCGAGTTTCCCCCTGTCTGTGCGGTCTTGGCTGGTTTTTTTACTATGCATTTCTTTTATTCTTGAATAAAACTGCATCATTACTATTGGTCCTAGTGGTTTCATTCTTAACAAATGATGATCTTACCGGTTGGTTATGTCTGGATTCGGTCTCGATTTTTGCATCAAAGCAAGGGGAGGTAAAGTTGACCTAACAGCGCACTATTTTTCTCCTTATTAGACATCAGATTTTCATACTCCTGCTTACTTTCACGGTATATGTACTTTACCATGCCTCCCGAAAACCCCTAAGCGTTGTTAAAACCGTGTTTCACAAAAAGTGTATACCAACACCATCGAAAGAACCAAATTGGTGTCAGTGGAAGCCGTTTGGTAAGCACTCAATGAAGCATATTGTAGCATTTAGATGCCGATGATTGGAGTCATTTGGTCGGCAGCCTGGAATATGTTTATCTCGTGTGTTATGCTTTTGCAATGTTTCCGTGGTAGGTCGTCCTTTATGGTCTCAGCTTTCAGTGGCCATCTTGCCGAAAGAATAGACTTACGCATATTCCTCACCATCGGAATGGTGACAAGCGGATTCACTACTATTTTGTTTGGTTTGGGATACTACTTTGACATACACATATTTGCATATTACTTTATTGTTCAGGTACTTTCGCTTGTTTTCAGTATGTTTTTTTTTCGAGATTCTGGCTGGTTTTACGCAGGCAACAGGGTGGCCTGCAGTTGTTACTATACTAAGTAATTGGTTTGGCAAGGCTAGGCAAGTGACATTACCTACCTTTGTGTTAACACAGTACCTTCTCTTTCATTAGCGTTAACATTATTTTCAGGAGAGGCCTTATAATGGGTGTATGGAATGCACATACTAACGTTGGCAACGTCCTTGGCTCCATAATTGCTGGTGTTTTTGTGAATCAGCAGTGGGGTGCATCCTTCGTGGTACCCGGATTCCTTCTTGGTGCTGGTGCTTACATAGTATACATAGTCCTGGTGGATCGTCCCCCTTCTGAACTCGACTCCGCATCCGTCCCGACGCATGCTGTTGAGCAGCACCGCAAATCTCTTACTGGATATTACGGGGATGTCAAGGTAGTGATTATTGACTTATAATCCTTTGGCCCAACCCTTATTCACAGGTCCCAATCTTGGGTAGTTTTCCCTTCCCTACTGATCATATGGTTTTAACTCCACCTATCGTTCATTTATTTGTGCTACTTTGGATTTACTGTTGGATTTGCTAGTTAAATGGTTCAAATCTGTGTTGTTTCTGCCATGGCTGTGAAACTGTTAGCATTTAAAGAGTATCCCTTCCCTTAGACTCTGGCGAATTTGAGTTACAAGGAAAAGCCGATATCATTTTGCGCCGCACTTTGGTTGCCGGTGAGTTTTTTTAATGCCTGAAAGTTGATACATATTTGTGCTATTTGATCAACTCAATCTCTGGTCTGAGCTGTTATCCATATATGATGCGGGGATTAGGTTTATGATTAGCCGCCGGAAAAAATACCCAATTATTTCATTTCTCCCTTACAATCTGACATTTACCCTTAATTACATAAGTCGCAGTTGTGAAATGACCACTAGTGATTAGGTTTACATTTTATGACCTAAACGCTAAGTTCTTCTTCAAGCTTACTTTGTTCCATCAAACTTAATGTTTTGCCAAATTGTTCCTTTTAGAATGTTATGACCTATGCACTGGCTTTGTTTTTTTCAAAGCTGGTAGCCTATACTTTCCTCTATTGGCTGCCCAATTACTTAGCAAACGTATCTAGTGAGGGTATTTCTGCTGAAAAGGCCGCGTGGTTGTCGACAATCTTCGATATCGGGGGAATCTGTGGCGGTATTCTTGCCGGTCTGCTCAGTGACACGACGTCGGTAGGGTTATTTGCTGGTGTCTCTCGGATTTCTTGCCATCCATTTATGACTTTTTCATCCCCTCTTTTCGTGTAGTCTGAGCCTGTGGCAGTGTCCCCTCAGGAGTCATCTCTACAGACCCTCTATTTTCGTGCGGTAACTTGTGCATCCATGCTCTTGATCGCTGCTCCTTCTGTAAGTAACCCCGTCCTGGCTTTACATTACGGCATATAGTGCCTATGGTTTGGATGCTGCAGCATGAACACTTTATGGGTGATTCATCTTCTTCCTCACGGCATGATTTGTTCAAAATGTAGTGGTCTAGTTTCTTGAAATCTACCCTAAAATAAACAAGTTTTACTCAGAAATTGACCTGCACTACCGTATTTGAAACTCGTTTTTGTGTGCGTGAAGCTTCCTATGACTTCATCCCATCATCCCGTAGTCTGATCAGCAATGTTTCCGCAAAGTAATTTCCTAATGCCTATCAGATAAGGATGTGAAACGTATGAAATTAGATAAACATTGAGAATGTGTGCCTTCTTAGTGTACGATGCGTCCCTTTACCGAATGGTTTGTTTCGTACCAAGAGCTTTAATTTCTAACATTATGTATCAGCTTAAATAAATATTTAATGGATTTTTAAGGCTGTTTGGTCAGCTACTCCTGCTTCACGACCGTATCTGCTTTATTGATAAACAAGGTGAATTTTTAAATCACCGCGATTTGTTTGAACTTGTCAACTTTTAATCACCTCGATATTTAGGTGTGAAATCGTTCCCTTGGGTCTAATCATTAACTAACTAAATCCACTGAGAGTCACAAAACGCTTACTTCCATTTTTAGTTATTCTTTTATCAGTTGATCGCTGCGAGCCTGTCGTTTACGTCAATGGGTAAGTGCCTGTTTCTTTTTACAAATACGGAATGGCGTGTCTTAGAGTCGTAATGGCATCTCTCCATTGCTTATTTTGTCAGCGATTTCCCCAGTCCCCTTTCCTCAGTAATGGGCTATTTCAGATGAGAAATTTACACAAATTAATAGTTGTGCAACCAAATTTGCTCCTCCCAGAGGCCCCAGAGTTGGTATTGTTTTTTGCAATAACAGGGAAATCTGTATACCCAAGCCACGCATTAACAACGCCTCTGTGAGTTATCTGGATGTATGCACACGCTGGCAGTCATGTCTTGCCTTTTTACCAACCGTGCGTTAGCCTTGGTGGCTGTCACTGCACGGCTTACTTTCATAAAACCACATGATGCACACTGCCGTTAAAATCCCTTTCAATATCCTCTTAGTATTGGAGTTTCTGTTGCTTTTCATTCGATTTTTTTGTGCCATAGCCGCTCTTACTTTGGTCAGCGAGATTGCACTCGTAAATAGTTGGTAAGGGTAAAGGCAATTTTACATCAAAGGTGTTACATCTCTCCATGAATATTTGATCAGTAAGACCGATATAAATCATCTGTTGATATCCACTGCTGGTACAAAACCAGTAGTACTTTATCTACGTTCACAGACTCCATATTCAAACGTCCTCCTTTTATTTACACCAGTAGGGAGCGATCGGTTAGTATGCGGGAGAATTGCCATCTCACCTCTTTTTCATATATGGGCTGTCTTCCCAGGAACTCCTAATCCTCCCAACTGCAGGCTTCGTAATTCACTCGCATTGGTGTATAGCAGTTCCATTTCCAGCACCAATTGTCATGCATCGAAAACCAGGGAACTGGTACTCCTTCCCATTCCTGAGAACACGATGGTGATCATAATTTTCAGATTCTTATTTCCTGTGATATTTATTTTGAAGGGATTTAATAGGGTTAGATTAAAGTAATTAACTGGGATTATTCCACTCTTTGATGAGTCCGCATCTTTGTGAAGTTCCCCCGAAGTGTATCTCCTGGTTTTTTTACTCTGGGAGCATTTCACCATTATTGCTCATGCATGGTTGCTTACCTACCCCTTTCTTATGATGAAGTTAGCAGTGTTATAATCGGTGTACGTTTCATTTGTCTAGTCCTTTGTATACCATTAAGTTAACCCATGCGCTATCATCCCACAAACTACTACCTCTGTCCACTCAAAATTAATTGGTCTTGTTTTTGTAATCATCAAGGTCCATTTAGCTGGAACTTTTTTTATTTTAGAATACTTTTACCCTCTCAACTTTGAAAGTATGTGGAGTGTGCTCGTCGCGCAGCACCCAGATTTCCTTACGCCACTTGCACACAAACACATCGTTCTATAGCTTTGTTCACAACCAGAGGGGCAACTTAGCGATTGCTCTTAATTTTATTCTGCGTCAACCACATGTGGCTGATTAAGTTTATCTTTTTTGCTATCCCTAAATTGACGAGATGATAGATTCGGCGTGGGTTGTCCTCGGCGTTTCATTGCGCCCCCTCTCATTCTCTCTTAAAATAACTTGAGTTCCACTTCATTTTCAGCGTGAATTAAACTTCTTGGTTAACCGACTCAAGAGATTCCACCTAGATGGTTATTTTTAAAATGCACTTCTTATATGCTTGCTTCATGTTCTTCCTCACATCAAGTGTTGTTATTTGTGCCTTTATGTAGGGGGCTCCGTAGAACTTGGGGTTTTATAGAGCTCACTTAAAACTTGGATTTGTATCAGTAGGACTAAAAATCATCACTCGAAGCGAGACACAGACCCATGGATTATTTGGTGCTGTCTGTTGGTCGCATTAGAATATTAACGCTCCGATGATGGGAGTCTTCATTTGCGTGATTTCAAGCGCATATTTTTGACGTGTGTGATTACTTATCCTAAATCTCGGAAGTCTTCTGAAATGCTTATATGAACGTGCGCGGCCTCCTTCACTCTAACTGTGGTAACGTCTTCGGTGGAAAAAGGCGATATTGCTTTGTATGGCTCAACCGACTGACCTTTGCTTCTCCCTCCCTCGCAAGTCGTCCTCTTTATCTGTGGCGGTCTGGTGACGGGACCTTGCGCGCTGATCACAACGGCTGTGTCCGCTGACCTTGGGACTCAGCCAAGCCTCCAAGGTAATTCCAAGGCATTAGCCACCGTCACGGCAATCATAGACGGGACCGGATCTCTAGGTGAGCCCTCCTCCTTGCTTTCCCCTTTTCCATCCCCGTGCTCTCGTATGAATTATCCACCCCTGCTAACCAAGACCTGTGATCAGGGTATGGTGGCAAATTATTCGTAATGATGCTACCCTACTCCACCAACCACCAAGTCGGTCCGCATCAGAACACTGGTAGCTCATAGATCGCTGTGTGCTTCTATTTGCTAAAATTGGATGGTTTTGTGCTTTAAATACGGTTTTTCCTCCGATTTTCTTAGTGTTGTGCATTAAGCAGACTAATTTGCTCCAGCTGATTTTTACAACAATTGGCGTCCGTGATTTCCCAGATTCCATCCTCAATCCATGCGATTCGAACTATATCTACGCGTCATGGCCAATATCCTAAATAAATGAGTGCTATTAAAAGATCTTGAACGTCAGTTACAAGAGGATTGAATGTGGATTATAAGCATTCTAGGAGGGAATTACTTAGAGAAAATATGCATTTTCATCAAATGACTCAAAATCCATTTTAACGAGCCATCACTTTTTATAGCAGTGGTGTTTCGTTGTTTTGCTTCCGACACTTTCCCAATGCAAATCGAAGCGTACTTCTTGGAGGCTTTTTCTGAATCTCTGTATCTAGGAGCAGCGTTGGGGCCATTCCTTACGGGCATTTTGGTATACTACGGTTGGCACGCCGTCTTTATGATGCTCATCTTCGCTGACCTAGTAGCACTTGCGATAACCCTCGTAATCGCGTGTAGGAATCGTAACGGTGGCGCCTACGAAATAAATGTTTTTAACCTCCGATCCCTCTTTTCACTATAGGCAAGACCACTTCTTGCGTATGCATTCCACACACTTTCCTTTGCCCACTTTCTCCCCTCCTGCTCTTCTTTCCTAGTTACTTGTACTATGTATTTTATGCAGTCTTTTTCAACGACAGAATTACCTTCTAACTTTAACAAAAGGTTAACCTGAGATGAACGCACACAGCCAGTCAAAATCTGATGAATCAATATTTACCAGGTTTTTAACTGAGTCCCAGATTCCCACAACAATCTTTCTTTACTACCAAGCTAGAAGGGGTGAAACGCTAAATCTAGTACATGTTGCTACTTTCCTGTATTGTTCAATATTTAAGAGAAGGCGTAATAGTGAATGGAAGCGCAGTTCGTGTCTACGTGCCCATTGT